GCGCTCGTACAGCGTGCAGAGGGCATCGTCCACGCGGCGCGAGCACCACAGCCGGAGCGCCCCAGGCGCTTCCTCCGATAACAAAAACGCTCTTGTCTAGGTCCTCCTCCTCCTCCTCCTCCTCCTCGCCTCCGCTCAGCCCTCCGCCTCCTCCTCCTCCTCCTCCTCATCCTCCTCTCTCCTCCTCCTCTCCTCCTCCTACTCCTCCTCCTCCTCCTCCTCCTCCTCCTCCTCCTCCTCCTCCTCCTCCTCCTCCTCACTGGCCAGTTCGCTTGTTTGGGAAGGGGGGCTCGGGGCGGACGAACAGGTCGTTTCCACTTGGATTCCGGCAGGATCGCTTCCATGGATCATGGAGCAACTTCTGGGCGCGATCTTCTTGAGAACGATGAGGGGATATTCAACCCGACTATGGGGCCATCGGGCCAGACCAGGCCGGATCAAATGGGTGATTGCGTCCAAGGCGAACGGATCATACCTGATAATACCAGCGCCGATGCTGAATTCAACCTCCCAGCAATCGCATTTCAACGTCACGGGGGGGGGGCGTGGCGAGGCCCAGATTGAAATCTGGACTTCACGCCAAGCGCGTCGGTCTGAAAGGTGGGGTGGGGGTGGGAGCGGGGGAGGGGGGCGGGGGCGAAATGCTATGCAGGTCAGCTTGCCTACGTCTACAAAGAAAATGAACAAGACCTCTTCTCGGGGCAGGAGAGGCTAGTCAACGGAGTGGGCGGTGAGTCAGCCCACGCGCACTGGCCAGTGCTCGGGACGAAGGCCCACTCCCCCCCACGACTGGCAGACAGCATGCGGGCATGGAGAGCACTCGGAATGCTTGACAACTTGAGGAGCTGGAGTGACATTGCCACGGACAGATCGTGACGTCACACGAAATGTATACCGACTCCGATGCGGCGGTCCTGCCGTCGTGGCCGAGCAAGCGGCCGCCCCGCTCGGCGGCTCGCGGTGCAACACCGCGTGCAGCACGTGGCCCGCGCGCTCCAGGGAACGAGCTCGAGGGAACCCAGACCGTTGCACGATTGAGGATGAGGATAATGAGGAGACGCCATCGCCCGCGTGTGTTGCCACTCGCCCCCCGCCGCTCGCGCGTCGAGCGCTGCACGAGTCGCAGCTTCCCTCCTCCGCAGCCCGCCCCCCCAAACCCAGGCACTGAGATCTCCCTTGGAGTCTCAGCTCCCGTGCAGCGGGATGACGCCTCGAGCGAATGCCACTCGCGGCGTGCCGCGCTAGAGAGCCGACAGAGAGAGATGCGCACTCCCCGCGCTTCTGCGGAAGAAGGCAAACCCCAGGTGGGAAGATGACTCAGAAGGAAGACGAGAGCGTGGGAGACGTGCCTCTCTTGGGCACCGCCCGTGCGCATGCCCTGCGGAGTCGCGCCGACTCCCCAGAGGGCCGGCTCTCGCAGGAACCCGTTCTGGCCTGCGAAAAAGGGCCACGCGACCTGGCCAGACGACCGCAGGCCAATTTGGGCGCCCGAAATGGGTACGGGAAGAATGGGTACAATGCCCGACAACAAATGTTGCCCCAAACCAGCAGCGGCCGCTGCTGGGCAGGCGGCCCTCTGTTTTCCACTGGACACAGGCCGCGGCGACACCGACAGCGAGCCTCGTTCAGAATGAGCAAGAACTGCTGTTGGGCATTGTACTTACCCATTTGAGCCAAGGCCGCGGTCCCCCAACGCCGTCGGTCTCTCACCCCGCCACCGTCGGAATGGGCACCGCGAGATGGGGTTCGCCGAGGCCGGCACGTGCTCCGCGGCCTTCGCCCCCCCCCCGCGGTCGTGGCTTCGGCGCCGCGCGCGCGCCAGGAGATCCGCCGATCCGCTGCCTCCAGGGCGCGCTGCGGCTGGCTGCACGGCTCGTCGGCGGGCGTCTGCTCCACCAGGCGCGCCCGCGAAGGCCTCGCGCGCGACGCTCGCGGAGTGGGCTTCGAAACTGTGCCGGGCCTCGGGGCGCTGTGCCTGGCGGGACCCTGCTGGACTCGGGTTCGGGGGGCTCGGTTTCGGGAATTCGGAATGGCCTGGGCCATCATGGAAACGACGAGACCCAGTCTGAAATTTGACGCGAGCTCCCGCTGCAAACATCCCACGCAAACTGACCCGTCAAAATCCAGGACGCGCTCGTCCAGGAGCGTCGGCAAACCCGAGGTCCGGCGAACTCGAGTCTCGCGTTTCCCCGACCACAGCCGGGTCACCTCAGACCCCCAGCCGACTCCAGAGAGCGACCTCCGCGCGCGCGCGCCCCCGCGCGCCAGCGGGTGCCACAGGCCTCTGGGGCGTCTGGGGCAGGACCCTGCTGGACGCTGGCCTGTAGGAGAGCTACCCGAGCGGGGACGGGAGCTGGCGCTGACCAGGGCCGCTCCGCGACACCCCATGCGCCAGACCGACTGGAGCCGGGCCTCGGCCGGCGCCACGTGCCGTGCACCCCTGAGCGCGACTGCTCGCGAACGCTTCCCTGCCCACGGGAGGGGCGTCAGGGAGTGGGCGCTGGCGGCGCGCAAAGAGGGGGTAGGGGGGGGGGAAGGGAAGGCTTCTTAGAAGCGCCCTGCTTCTCAGAAGGCCCCGGGCCCTACATCTATACATCAAGGCCAGCGCCTTTCCTAACGGGTGTGCCTCGGAGAAGCCCTCCGCGCGTGGCCGAGGCTGGAGCGGTGCTCCCTGCCCCGGATCCTCCAGCAGGTACAGGCGCGGGGCCATGTCGTGCCGCAGGGACAGGCTGGGCGCCATCTCCTCCAGGCTGCCGCGCACCATGGCCAAGGACCAGCCGCTGCCCCGAGACCATCCTGCGGGTGCCCAGAATACCCACACGGCCACAAACCCACGTCGGACGCCCGCGGTCGGCGTCTCTGCCGGCGACCAGTCCTCTCCACTGTGAGGGCCAACGTCAGGGGGGGACGGGCTCAGGGAGTAAAGATCGACCTGGAATCGGCGATACATCGCCGACAGATCGGCGATGGGCCCTCGATCGATAGCGGATCCGCACGCTCCTGGTCCTGGGCAGGGCGGGCCATCGGGCCTCTATCGGCGATCAATGGGCGATTGGGGGTCAATGCGTTCGCCTCCCTGAGCCTATCCGCCCTGAACGGGCCCACTGGTTTCGGGTCTTACCTCGGGGCCTGTCAGAACGATGGGGCACGCCTGGAACGCCCTCGGCGAGGCGCAGCCGCTGGAAAGCAACCCGAGAGTGCAAAGCCGACAAGAAACTGCACGTCCGAAAACCTCACACCTCGAACCCGACATTCTCCCCCCCTGTCCCTCCCCCTGGGGGCGCGGAGAGGGGGCCCGGCGCCGGCGGAGCCGTCCGCAGACGCTCGCCATCGCTCGGACGTCCATTCCCTGTGTTTTTTTCGGTTTCGCGCGTGGCTTTTTTTTCGCCAAATGATCAAGGATGCTCCTCGATGGTCCTCACGTCCTCACCGAAGCGATGCCAAGGACGTCCGCTGGGCGGGAGCATGAAGGCGAAGAAGGCGTTCTGAGGTGCGTGGGGCCTCCACCCTTCGGTGCCCTCGGTGGAAGACGAGCCCGTTGGGCGCCTCGGCCCGAAGAGGCCTCCTCGTCGTCACCTTCGCCCTCGGGGGGTCGCCGGAAGCCTCCCTCTCTCGGGGGCCTGGGCGGGGCCAGACACAGCCGGAGCCCTGGATCCCCGAGGCCTGCGTGACCCGGGATGTCCACCTCGATCCTGCGTGGCGGAGCCCCGCCCCCCGAGTTCTGAGAACCGGGGGCTCGGCGCCCCTCTTCTGATCACACCAGAAAGGGCCCCTGACGCGTTGGGAGGGGACCTAGATTTGGAGGGCCAGGAGCATTAGGAACAGGGGCTCTGTTCTGCAGGTGCACCAGGCCAAACCGCCCAGAAGTACTATCCATCATCTGGAGACAGAGACCTCAGTGAGGCCACGTCTTCATCGTGCTATTAGGGTTGGGTCCTTTTGTTCTCAATGAATCCTTTGCCCAACGTGGCCCTTACATCAATGTCTGAACTGCATGTATATATCATGCGATGTTCGGGTCAGCTATCCTTGCGCACAGCGCCCCGCGCCCCGCGGCTACTGCGGAGGCCAGTCCACCAGCAACCTTCCACAAGAAACCCAACCCTGAGACCCCAGGACGTCCACTGATGTTTGGTGTGTGAGCGCCACGCTTTCCATAGCAAAACCATCGAAACCCATGAAACCCAGGGCGCCCTGGAGGCAAGCAGGGTGTTTCTTGGCATGGGCCTCCACCGTACATCCATGTCCGAACTGTATGTATGAACGTATATATGTATGTATGTGTGTATGTATACATGCATGCATGGATGGATGGATGGATGGACGGATGGGTGGATGGATGTATGTATGCATATATGTTCGTTCGTGTGTTTGATTGCAATGGTTTAGTTATGTGTTCGTTTGTTTGTTTGCATGTATGTATGTACGTAACGATGTATTATTCGATGTTCGGGCCAGCGAACCTCACGCAACGCGCCCCGCGTGCCGCGGCCATCCTTCGCTGGCCTCCGCATCGTCCTGTTCGGCCTCCAGAGGTCGCCAGAGGCCTCCCTCTCTGGAGGCCCAGGCGGGACCAGACATGTCCGAAACCCTCTGGTGAACCAAAAGAGGGCCCCTTACCCTTTGGGAAGGGACCCAAGTTGGGAGGGCCAGAAGCATCAGGGATAAGGGGGCTTTCTGCAGATGCGCCACACCAACACGCCCAGAAATAGTACCCGTCATGCAAGGACGGGGCCCTCAGTGAGGCCACGTCTTCACTCTGTTGTTAAGGCTAGGGTTTCTCTATTATCCTCGATGAAGACATGTCCGAAGCCCTCGATCCACGAGTTCTGCGTGACCTGGGGTGCCCACCTCGAGTGGCGGCGCCCCGCCTCCCGACTGGCACGCCCGAAACGGATTCGAAAACGAACTACGATGCCAAACAACGAGTTACGCCAGAACCGGCGTCGGCCGCTGCCGGCAGGGCCATTCTCTGTCTCGAGCGGACGACAGCGCCCACGGCGACGCCGACAGCGCGCACTGTTCAGCAGCAAGAAGAACTGCCGTGTTGTTCCCGTCCCCGTGTCACGGAAGGTTGTGCGACCTCCAGTCTCCGACTTTGTGGGGTTTCGACTCGGCCAACCATGGGAGTCACAGCTGGGGGATGCACGACGGGGCAGCGTCCATCCTCGATCAAGGGGTGCGCCCGAACGGCCCCCCCTGGGGGTGCACCCCCTTTTTGTCGGAGCGGCCTCACTTTTCTGGCAGAACTCGGGGAACTGGAGGGGGATTCGGGGGCGTTCAAGATGGGGGCGTCCAAGAGGGGGCCGGGGGCTCAAATCATGGCCGGCGGCATGTGCGCGGCCCAAGGGGGGGCCGGGGATGTAATGAAGTAAGAAAGGGCGCCATGAAATCTGGGGAGATATCAAGGCCCAAGCCATGGTATCCCCTCCCCCCAGTCATCACCTCCCTCCTGGCCACCCCCCCCTAGCCACCCCCCCCAGTCTCGGCGGTGGACAAACCTCCCTTTAGAAAACCTCCCCTTAGTGAAAACGGCCTGGGACCGAAACCGACGGACTTGGACCCGCAAAAAAGACGACCGCGACGCCCTCTCGCGAACCGAAAACGGCCCATTCCTCAGTCGAAGTGTCGGGGCAGGAGGTCTATCCACCTCCGACAGTCAGCACCTCCCTCTTGGCCACCCCCGAGCGATGGGAGCCCGGAGGACCATCTCCGATGGCCTCCGGCCCCAGCCCAGGCCGGAGCCCCAGCCCCCCGCCGGAGCCCGGGCCCCAGCCCGAGCTCCAGCCCGAGGCCCCGAGGCCCGCGCCACGGAGATCGCCTTCGACTGCCGGGCGACGAGCGCTACGGTCACGGCCGCATCACGGAGGCCCGTGTGGACGTTTATCGAACGAGGTTGGCCAGCCAAAGTCGCGAAGGACGGGCCGCAGTGGCAGCGGTGCAAGGGTACCCTTGCCATCCGTACTGTGCGGGTTGGCTGTATCCATGTCGTCCGCCGCTGGCCATGCCCATCCTGGGCCCAGGATGGGCCTGGCCAGCGGCGGTGGATGTGGATAGAGCTCGTCGCCAAGGGCCGCTCTCTCTTCGGCGGCGAGCGAGGGGTGAAGTGAGAGAGAAAAGGCCCTCTCAGAAGGCGGATCGACTTCTCAGAAGCCCGCGGGCCTCCCGAGAAGCTGTTGTTTGCGGTTTCGGGGAAGGCTCATACAAAACTTCTCAGAAGGCCGTGGGACTGACTCCCGAGCCTTCTGAGAATACTTTCTCCTTCTCACTTCCCCCCCCCTCGTTCGCCGCCGATCTCCGCACCCACCCCAATCTTTGGACGCCCGAATTTGGTATGGAAAACGTAAGTACAATGCCCAGCAACACATGTGGTCCAAAACCGAAAGCGGCCGCTGTTGGGCAGGCGGCACTGTCTTCAGTGAACAACGCCCGCGGCGTCGCGGCCAGCGAGTCTTATCCAAAATAAACAAGAACTGCTGTTGGGCATCGTATCCAGTCTCTCCGTGCCCATATCTAGGGAAACAAACATTGACATCAACATCAAAACTCGGCGGTCCGCGCGGATTTCTCAGATCCGCGCTGGGGCCCCCTGGCGGCGCCTCCAGCGCCGCCCCTGGCGCGCTCCGCGCGCCAGGGAGAGGGGTCCGGCGCGGACCCAAGAAATCCGCGCGCTCCTCCGAAATTGTATGTTTCTGTAATTTCTCGTTCCCCTAATTTCGATCGTCCCGACAATCGCCCCGCGACCGCCCGCGACGTCGCGGACCACTTCCGCGGAACAACGTCCGCGGCGTCGGAGACAGCGAGCCTTGCTCAAAATACGCAGGAACTGCTGTTGGTCATCGTACCCCTTTTCTTTCCGTACCCATTTCTCGGTGAGACTTGAGATTCGGGTGCGGGGGACTCGGGTTGGACTGACGGGGCGATCACACAAAGGACGAGGCCCAGTCTGGCATTTGACGCCACCTCCCGCTGCAAAAACATCCCACGAAAGCTGCACGACCGCCCAAATCCAGGACGCGCTCGTCAAACAACGCCGGCAGACCCGAGCTCCGGCTCACTGGAGTCTTACGTCTCTCCGATCTTCCTAAAAATGAGCAGGAACTGCTGATGGGCATCGTACCCATTCTTTCCGTACCCATTCCGATCGTCTTCCTCCTCCTCCCTTCCCGCCCTCGCTCGCCGCCGAATGACGGCGAGCCCGGCCGTGCCTGGCCCCGCGGCAACCACGGGCCTCCAGAGATACCTCCAGAGAGGGCGAAGAGCGCCTCCACGCTCAATCGATCCCCAATCGCCCCGCAGCAGTCTGAGCAGGGACCGGCCGTCCCGGCATTCCTATAGTCATACCACGAAATGTTCGTAGAACTCACAAATGTTCGAAGAACAAAAGCAAGGTTCTTAGAACATGAACCCGATGTGTTAAAACAAGCCGGTCCCAACCAGAAATGTTCTAAGAACACTTCGTGGACACCATACAAAGTTCTTAGAACATTGCTTGGCAGGGCTATAGGCGAGCCAGGACGCTTCGCCACTGCTTGAGCAGTCCACAAGAAACCCAACCCTGAGACCCCAGGACGTCCATAGGTTTTTGGTGTGGGAACGTCACGCCTTCAATCGCAAACCCATCGAAACCCAGGGCACCCTGGAGGCAAGCAGGGTGTTTCTTGGCAAGGGCCTGCACTGTAAACAGGAACTGCTGTTAGGCATCGTGCCCATTCTTTCCATGCCCATTTCGATCGTTAGGGGGCCACATGCGAACCCTACCCCTACCCCCCACGATTTCCGAGGGGGAGGGTGGGGTCCACTTCGCTCGGGAGCTCCCGAGTGGAGTGCACCCCACCCTCCCCCTCAGAAATCGTCGGGGGGTAGGGGTAGGGTTCGCATGTGGCCCCCTAATCTCGGGGAGACGTAAGACCCGGGTACGGGGGACTCGGAAATCCCCGACGAGGTCGTCAAAAAAATGACGAGGCCGAGCCTGCATTTTGACGAGGCCTCCCGCTGCAGACATCCCACGAACCTCCTCCTCGTCAAAATCCGAGGCGCGGTCGTCAAAAAAGGATGGCGAACCCGAGTCCTGGCAAACCCGGGTCTTACGCTCCCCCGATAGGGGTAGGGTTCGCATGTGGCCCCCTAATCGTCCCGACCAATCGCCCCGCGGCAGTCCTTCCCCCGCCGCGGGCAGCAGCACCGGCAGCGGGGGCACCGCCGCGTCCTCGGCCGCCAGCAGCCACGCGGCGGCCTCGGGGCCCCGCGGGAGCAGGCCGGCCTCCTCGGGGCCGCGGGGGCGCGGCGCGCGGCGCCACCGCCCTCGCGCGCTGCCATTGGGAGAGCGTTGGGCGCCCGAGTTATCCGGGGTAACTCGGGTCCGGGGTAACTCGGGTTTGGATTCCCGAAAAAGGAAACCGAGTTATCCCTGACCCGAGTTACCCCTGATGATTCGGGGCTCTGAGAGCGCGTGCTCCGACGGTGGGGCCCCGCGTGGAAATCGTGTTACAGCCGGCCCGTACCACAGGGATGCGCGATGAGCATGCAGGGGCCTCGCAGAGGAAGGAGAACTATGCGCACACACACACACACCGATTCTGGCCGGGCCCATCCTGAGCCCAGGATCGGTGCATACGCCCGCCACCTTGGCCAGGAAGGTATATGCATATATGCACCGATCCTGGGTCAAGGACGGGCCTTGCCAGGATCGGTGCATGTGTATAGTTCTCTTCGCCCGGCCTTGGGCGCCGTTTCGAAGCGCGTCGAGCGGGGTGCCTCCAACGCGAGTGGCCGAGGATGGACCCGGGAGGCAAGCATGCAGGGGTACCCTTGGGAAGGATGCCCATCCTCATTCTGCGGGTTGGCTGTAGCTCGCCTCTCGGCACTGGGAGCTCTGGAAGACTGGCCGTGCAAGCGCGGAACAAGTTCAGCAGGAAGAGATCGCCATGGCGAAACCGCCGCCACCGGAACCTCCTCCTGCCCTCTCCTCCGATGCACAGTCAAGACGTGCACTGAGGACGGGTGGTAAGGGCGCAACACCCTTGGAGGCCGAAGTTTTCTTTTGGTGGGCAGCGGGCGACCAGTGAAAACGGCAAAGGAAAGGCCGCAGAGGCAGAGACAAAATGGTACGCACCCTAGATGAAGGCGCGCGCCCTTGCTGGGCGCGTTGTCTGTACCCCCTGGTTTGCAATGTGCCTCCTCCTGTTCTTCCTCCCTCCTGCCTCCTCCTCCGGCTTCCTCGGGGCGGAGGGCCAGCACAACCATCGAGCTGCCGTGGAAACGAGAGAAGAATCAGCAGCGAATCCCGGCTTCTGGCTGCGAGCCCAAGGGGGGAAGGCAGAGGGGCGGGATATGATCAAAAGGCTGATAAGCAATCCTCCGTCTCTCTGAGAAGCTGCCAGAGCGTTCTCCGAAGTCTGGGGCGGCTTCTTAGAAGGCGCGATGGTTGTTGAGACACCCCGCCGACTCGTCAGACGGCCTGCCCCTTTTCACTTCCATGTTGGGCGCGCCGCCGACTTCCATGTTGGCCAGCAAGGCCCCATACCGCCCCGGAGAGCTGGAGGTCCCAAAGCGGTGCGGGACATCGGAATCCCCAGACCTCACCGCATGGTCAGTCAACCCACGTTTTGTGGCCTCGGACACCCCAGTCGTTCGAGACGTCCTTCCAAAATGGCCCGGGCCCCAAACAAAGCAGCGCGGCACCTTTGGGCACCCTCCACAGATGCGCATGGGTGCAACGCTACAGGAACATGTTCCTAATGTCACCGTCTTCACTGTACAATCCGACCACATCAAAAACGGTGCGCGGTAAGGATGTAGAACCTCTGGATGCTCAAATTCAAATCGAAGTTGGCAACGCATGGCCGCAGGAGGGAGTGGAGGGGAAATGATTCGGGAAAGGAGGAGGGTTAGAGCATGGGGCCAGGATCGAGAGGATGATGGAGAGAGAAAAGGAAGACCCATTCGTTGACGTCGTCTTCCTCCTCCTCCTCCTCCTCCTCCTCCTCCTCCTCCTCCTCCTCCTCTTACGCCCCCACTTCCTCCACCTAATTAACCTCGTCGAGGGGCGCCGTGACAATTCTAGCTCAAACCACGGGGTGTGCGAGCGTCCTAGCCTACCTCTCCCTGTCCTTTGTGCTCGCGCGGAAAACGGAACGAAATGCCGTTGCGTCAGCCTGCCGCGTGGGCAGCTTGCCCCGATTGCTTGCTGAAGGCGAGGTTGTGAGTGGATTGGCTGGCTCGAGCAGCCTGCTGTCCTCCATGTTGCTTGGCATCCTCCTGACGTTGGCTGGCGCCGGCTGGGTGTTCTGGGTCCTGGACGTTTTTGAGGGTGCTCTGCTGCGTCAGCGCTCGCCTCTCCGAACTCAGGGTGCCTCTTCGTGACACCGCCGGTGCCGGCAGGGTGTTCTGGGACCTGGAGGCGCTGGGCGTGCTCTGCTGGATCTTCCTTCGCCTTCCTGGACTACTTCGGGTACCCTGTCCTTTAGCTGCTGGGTCCGGCTGGGCGTTCTGGGTCCCGGAGGCGCCGGACGTGCTCTTCTGGGCCGTCGCTCACCTTCCTGAACTGGGGGTGCTTTGTGCTGAAGTTGCTGGTCGGCTGCGTGTGCTGGTGCCCGGAGGCGCTGGATGTGCTCGACGGGGTCTTCGGCATTTGTCTATGTCATATCCTTCGCGTGCTCCCGGAGGTTCTGAGTTGGCTGGGTGCTCTGGCCTTGGACGGGCTCTGGAGGTCTGCAAGGCACTCCGCCATCTGCAGGTTGGGGCGAGGAGGTTTCGCAGCACGTCGGGCGCCTGTTCTCGCGACTAGGCTTTGTGCACGGGAGTTCACAGCGCTCGGGATCTTCCTGGCTGGTCTGCACCTAAAGGGCGTCGCCTACTTCTACCAGCACGTGGGCCACATTGCCATGGGGATGGTGCGTTGTTGCGCCGTGCTGGGTGCATGCTGCTCGGTATGTTATTTGTTGTTGTGTTCTTCTCGGATATGGCCTTTGTCATCGTCTTGGTCGGGGCTACGGTTCGCCACGCTGTGGATTGGAATGGTCATAGTCTGAAGCAGCTTGATGCTCGCCATGGCGCCATGGGCGGCCGCAGCGTGGTTCTACGTCGTCTCGTGCGTCATGGTGACATCGCCTTTCTCTGGGATGCATGGCAGCATGTTCATGCTCAGCTTCAGGTTCGTGGTGTTGATCGTGTTCCCATGTATAAGCTGAGTTGTTTGCTTCATTATTGCTTGCGCGAGCGTCGCGGAACCAACCGCGGTCGCGTCTGACAAATAATGCCCTCTCTCGCGGGCGCCTTGCGGCGAAGCCCCACACGTATGCCTGTTCACCCGTGAGCAACGCACGGCCTCGCAACTGGACGCGACAGGCTCACGGAGCGCGCCGCTCATCTCCATCGATGCGGCCGCAAGCCCACGAGCCAGAAGCGTCTTCGAATCGCCTGGCGCCCCTTGAGGCTCTCTCGGCATAGAGGAAAGAGAGCTATGCACATACACCGATTCTGGCCAGGCCCACCCTGAGCCCAGGATCGGTGCATACGCCATCCTGCCTTGGCCAGGAGGGCACATGCACCGATCCTGGGCCCAGGATGGGCCAGGCCAAGATCGGTGTATGTGCATAGCTCTCTTCGCCCGATCGGCACCCGTGACACGCGGCCCCCGCAGACTCTAAAAAAAAAACGAACCCCAAAATCCGTGCCGCGCGCGCGCGCTCGCCCCTCCCGGCCGCCTCCAGCCTCGCGACCACACAGCAGGCGGCCTCCACGACCCCGGGGTGCCGAAGGCGAGCTCCCGCGGGCGCCCCATAGCTCAGCCCTCCTGCGGCCTCCCCGTCGCCGGCGCCGTGCCAAGAGGATTGGAAAAACCCCGCGTGGGGCCTCGTGCCCCTGCTGCTGCCCCGCGGGGGCGGGGCAGCGAAGGCGCTGGGATTGGGTCGGGCCTGAGGAAAAAGGAAAAATGCAAAACACCCCCCAAAATGCCCAAAAGATTACCAAACATACCCCAAAAAAATAGTCCCCAGACTATGTTTCCCTATTTTCGAAGATTCCCCCTGTGGAGGGACAGGCCCGACTCAACGCTGGGACGCGGCAGCCCACCGGCCCGCGCCGTATGCCGCCGCAGCTGGCGCGGGCGCGCCCTGGGCCCGCCTCGCCCGCGTGCCCTCGGGGGAGCTTGCAGGCGCCCTGCTCCCAGGGCTGCGCCGCGGGAGGCCGATGTGGGACACACCACTATTGCGACGATTCGTTGTTTCTTCGACCGCGCTTTTCGGCGGTGGACAAACCCCCCTTTAGTAGACCTCCCCTTAGTGAAATCGGCCTGGGACCGAAGCAGACGGACCTGGACCCGCAAAAATGACGGCCGCGACGCCCTCTCGCGAACCGAAAACGGCCAATTCCTTAATCGACGTGTCAGGGTAGGAGGTCTGTCCACCCCCGAGCTTTGTGGTTCCGGTTGCTCGCGGGGCGGGCGCACGGGGGCGCCGCGGCCCGGAAGCACTTCCAAAGCAGCACCCGATCCTCCCCTGGCGCAGCGGGGCTGCCCCCTCCGGTCGAGGGCGGCCCTGCCGGCGGCCGCGCCGGACGCCCCTCCCGGGAGGCAGGCACGGGGGGCGCAGCAGTGGACCCACAGGCATGTCGGAGAGGAGCAGGCCCACCACCGCGGCGTTCAGGGGCACGCGGGTCGAGGTTGCACACAGCGCTCCAGGAGGCATTCGGGGATCCCGAAGGTCAAGAACGCCAGGAAGATGGCCATGAGATGTTACCCACGAGCTGGATCTTCTGCCGAACATGTTGCGCCTATGGAGGCCTCCACGAGGGACAACATGCCCAACGGGAAGACAGTGCGGAGCCGCAACTTCGGCCGCATCATCTCGGCCATAGCGGTGTGCACGGACGTGCCGCACATGCAGGCCATCATGAACAACGAGAGAATGAGCATCACGGCGCTCTTCAAAGTTGGGGAACAATTGGAGTTGAAGACGTACCTGGCTCTTTCTAAGCAGGCAGCGATGGCGTCGAGCAGGGGTGTCCACTGAACTCTCCAGAAGAGCGTGAACGCATCTTCCAATATTGCAAGAATATTGTCGTTCTGCTCGCCACGATATTCGCCGTAAATCTCCTTCCACGTGTGCGAGATCAACACAGCACCTGCAGTCAGGCGTATTGCTGCCAGGTCCAAAGGTCCAGAGTCACCACCCACATGAACAACGGATCCCTCCCACAGTGGATGCAGCTTAAAACGCTCGGCCACCACGCCAGCCACGAAGCCGCTGACGATGGCCACCAAATACATGGTCGAGTGCATCAGACCGAACATGCTCAAAAAGAGGCCCGTGGATAACTGCTTGCGACCGACATGCTCGGACACCATCCAGCATTCGAAACCGGAAAATAACAGCGACGCTGCCAGGCCGCCAGTGAACCTGCAAACTATCAACATATGATATGTTGTTTTGTTTGTTTAAAACCGTTGGTGGCGCAGGACACGCAAGACTCCCCGCAGAAGAAACGCGCTCACCTCTTTCGACCGCAGCGGTCCGTAATGATACCGACGACACCGCCGAACACCATAGAAAAGGCAACACCCATACAGTAGGGGCCCGACCACGAGAAACCTTCCAAACGGAACCCAACACTGAGACCCCGGGGCGTCCACTGACTCTGGGCGTGGGCACGCCACGCCTTCCTCGCAAAGCCATCGAAGCCCAGGACACCCAGAGCACCCTGGAGGCGAGCAGGGCGCTTCTTGGCAGGAGCCCCCACTGCGGCAGGACATGCCAGCAATGCCCTGCCTGCTGCAGCCGCACCCAGCACAGATCGCATACGCCTGCGGGCACGGCAGCATATTACCGGCCTCGAACGTATCCCTATCCCTAAGATCGGCACGCCAAAAGGCGATGACAATCGTAGGGATTCGCCCTCAACAAAAAAAGGGAACCCCTAAGATTGGCATCGTGATGAGGAGGTGCCCAGCATAGGGATAGGGATATGTTCCAGGCTGGTAAACAGATCCGCCGCCGCACACGGGCTCGAGGCGGAGGGGTGCGCCAGCCGGAACCTGCGGAAGCCCAGCGGGACCACCTCCGTCGCGTGTCCCGGGGCGCCCGCCACGCCAAGACCGGGGTGGCGCCGCTGCCAGGGCGGCCGACACCGGGCAGGAGTTGAGACTCCAATGCTCGAGCGTGTCCATCCTCGGCGTGGGCGTCCTCGATGATGGGGCCAGCGCGGCCGCCGGCACGAGAGTCCATGTGCAGAGCTGAAGCCTGCAAGACGGCAGCGGCATGGCTCGCCCCGAAGTGCAAGGTCGGTCTCTGCGTCGACGCGGAGGCCCCCGACATGGCAGGGAGGGCCGCTTAAGTAGCAGGGAAGCGGTAGACGAGGCCCTCGGCGAGCCCGACGGCTTCATGGGCCAGAACGGCTACTGGTGTTCGTGTACTGCGTCTCGACACGGCCTGCCTAGAGTAGGGAACCCAAGCAGAGTACACTTCGAGTTGGATCTGGAATTACCTGATGCTGGGGCGTGTTCCTCCTACAGCGCGACTGGACCAGAAGGATGTGTGACGTTATAAAAAAATGGCGCCGAAGCTGGAAGCCCGTAGCCCGTGACGAAAGTCTAGGACGGGAAGAGAGGCAACTGCTGCGCATCCTTAGGATGCGCCTTGGCTGCACCATGGCTGGAACTGACCCGGAGCCCAGCTGCAGGAGCGCACGCAGAAGCGGGGAAACCTCCAGGAGCTGACGAAAGCGCCCGAGACAATTTGGCGGAAGGACCTGCAAAAAGTTCACGCTCCGCCGACTCTGTCGAGTGGGAGCGGCTCTGTAGTAGGGGGGACCGGCTGAAGGGTTGAAACATCGAGCTGAACGGAATCGGCGACAAATCGCCGATACTAGAAGAAGAAAGCGCCGTAAACACAAACTGTTGGCGCTTGGGCCCCCCTCCCTGGCGCGGAGCGCGCCAGGGGCGACGCCGGAGGCGCCGCCTGGAGGCCCCAGGCACCGATCCAAGAAATCCGCGCAGAGCGCCAACAGTTTATGCTTATGGCGTGGACTCTTCGTCGAGAGACATCGGCGACAGGATCTCGACAGAGAACCCGCAGTCCTGTGGGAGGCCCGGAAATTGACACCAGCACCAGCACAGGGGGTTGCCTCCACGGGGAGAAGAGGATCCTCGATTTCGGTGTCGGTGGCAATATTTTTCGGTCACCTTGGGAGCTAGAATATTACCACCATCACCGAGATCGGGATCCTCTTCCCTCGGTGGAGGAACACCGCCGATATTGGTGTTGGTGTCATCCTCTAGTCCTGCCATCCTGGGCGGGGTGGGCAGTCGGGCTCCTCCTCTCGGCGATCGGGGGGGGCGACGCGTCCCCATTCCCGGAGCCAAACCCCGCCCTCCGGCGCTGCTCCCGACGCTCCCGTGGGGCCCTCCTGCTCGGGTGGACAGCGATGTGCGACGCCGACAGCGGACTCGGCTCAACAGGAGTACAGTCGGGGCGTTGACCTAAGGAACCCTAAATGAGGAACGAGGCCCCTATGTTCCATAAGTTGAACTTCGATTTCGTGTCGAAAACCTGGGGGAAATCCAAGGCAAGCTGCGAAACAAGTAAGGAACACGGAGCCCCTCCCCAACAAAAAGGGTTCCTTCTTCAGCGCCCCGACTGCAGAGGATTCCATCTGGCATGACCATCGTTTCCAGAGGTCCGCGCCGAATTCTGGAATCGTTGCCGGAGGCGCCGCCTGTGGAGCCCCTGCACCGGCCTGAAAGATCCGCGCGGATCTCCAGGAAGTCATGGTTGTGCCGTGTCTTGATTTCCGACTGGGCAGGAAAGGCTGTCGCTCTTCTTCCCCAGACGAGCGCGTTCCACTACTCGCAACGCAACTACTCGCCAATGGCCTGGATCCACCGCGGGGGGTCTACGATAACTGACATCGAAGCAGACAGCTGTTTCTCGTCGAACGTTTGCAAGTAAACACTTTGCTTGTGTTGGACTTTCCTCGCTCTTTTCGCACCCATCTCGGTCGTGCCGAATTCTGCGGAGTCCTCCTGCTCGTCCGCGCGGCCCAGCGCGCCCTCCCTCGAGAACAAGAAGTACGCGTCGTAGCGCTGGGCGACCAGGTCAGCGGCGCTGCACTCCTCCAACCCGCGGGGATGGGGGATTGGGAGGGGAGGGCTAAGGAAGCAGGAGCGAAGCTGGAGGTGCAGGGAGGAGCGATGAGGAGGAGGGATGAAGAGAAGTGAGGGAGGAGCGAGGAGGAGGAAGGAGGAGGAGGAGGAGGAGGAAGAGGAGGAGGAAGAGGAGGAGGAAGAGGAATAGGTGGGCGCCGACTGAAGTGTCCGCCGGGCAACCAAAATGAGAGGAGGAGGAGGAGGAGGAGGAGGAGGAGGAGGAGGAGGAGGAGGAGCAGGAGGAGGAGGAGGAGGAGGAGGAGGAGGAGGAGGAGAGGAGGAGCGAGGAGGAGCGAGGAGTAGGCGGAGGAGGAGGAGGTGGAGGAGGAGGAGGAGGAGGAGGACGGAGGATGAGGAGGAGGAGGACAAGGAGGAGGAGGAGGAGAGAACGGAGGAGGAGGTGAAGCTGGAGCAGGATGAGGAGGAGGAGAGCAGAAGGAGGAGGAGCAGGAGGAGGAGCAGGAGGAAGAGGAGGAGGAGGAGGAGGAGCAAGCGGAAGAGCAGGACAAGGAGGATCAGGAGAAGGAGGAGGAGGAGCAGGCGGAGGAGAAGGACGGAGGAGGAGGAGGATGAGGAGGTGAAGCTGGAGCAGGAGAAGCAGGGAGGTGAAGCTGAGCAGGAGGGGCAGGCGAGAAGCGAGGAGGAGCAGGCGAGAAGCGAGAGGAGGAGGAGGAGGAGGGACGGAGGAGGAACAGGAGGAGGAGGAGAGGAGAGGAGGAGGAGGAGGAGGGGAGGAGGGAGGAGGAGGAGGAGGAGGAGGAGGAGGAGGAGGAGGAGGAGGAGGAGGCGTGGGGAGGGGAGGAGGGGGAGGAGGAGGAGGAGGAGGAGGAGGAGAGGAGGAGGAGGTGGGCGCAGACTGGAGTGTCCGCAGGGCAACGAAGAGAGAGGAGGCGGAGGTGGAGAAGGAGGAGGAGCGAGGGAGTAGGCGGAGGAGGAGGAGGTGGAGGAGGAGGAGTAGAAGGAGGAGGAGGAGGAGAGAGAAGGTCGAGGATGAGACGGAGGAGGAGGAGCAAGGAGGGGCGAGGAGGAGGAGGAGGAGGAGCGAGAAGCGAGAAGCGAGAGGCGAGGAGGAGGAGGAGGCGGAGCGAGGAGCGAGCAGCGAGGAGCGTGGAAGGAGGAGGAGGAGCAAAAGGAAGAGGAGGAGGAGGACAAAGAGGAGGAAGGAGGAGGAGGAGGAGCGAGGAAGTGGAGGAAGAGGATGAGTAGGATGACGAGAAGGATGAGGAGGAGTAGGCGGATGAGGAGGAATCAGGAGGAGGAAGAGGATGAGGAGGAGCGGGGGAGGAGAAAGAGGAGGAGGAAAAGGATGAGGAGGAGGAGAATGAGGAGGTGAGGGAGATGGTGATGATGGTGATGATGATGATACTGATGCTGATGATGATGATGCTGATGCTGCTGATGCTGATGATGACGATGATGATGATGATGATGATGATGATGATGAGGATGATGATGATGATGCTCATGCTGATGCTGATGGTGATGCTGCTGCTGCTGATGATGATGATGATGATGATGTTGATGATGATGACGATGGTGATGATGAGGAGGAGGAGGAGGAGCGAGGAGGAGGAGGACCAGCGAGACGGAGGAGGAGGAGAGGAGGTGGAGCGATGAGGAGGCGGGAGGAGGGAAGGGAGCAAAGAAGGAATGACGGAACGAATGATGAAAGGAAGAAGGAGGAGGACGAGGAAGGAGGAAGAGGAGGAGAAGGTGGGCGCCGACTGAGAAAGAGAAGGAAGAGGAGGAGACGAGAAGAAAGTGGAAGAGGAGGAGAAGGAGGAGGAGGCGGAGGAGGAGGAAGATGAGGAGGAGGAGAAGAAGGTGTCCGCAGGGAAACAAAACTGAGAGGATGATGATGATGAGGAGGAGGAGGAAGAGGAGGAGGAGGAGGATGAGAAGCGAGGAGTAGGGGGAGGAGCAGGAGATGCGAGGATGCGGAGAATGAGGACGAGCGAAAAGCGAGGAGCGAGGAGGAGGAGGAGGAGGAAGAGGAGGAGCAAGGAGCGAGGAAGGAGGAGGAGGTGGAGGAGGAAGAGGAAGAGGAAGAGGAGGAGGAGGAGGAGGAGGAGGAGGAGGAGGAGGAGGAGGAGGAGGAGGAGGAGGAGGAGGAGGAGGAGGAGGAGGAGGGGGAGGAGGGGGAGGAAGAAAGAGAGGAGGAGGAGGAGGAAGAAGAGGGAGAGGAGGGGAAGGAGGGAGGAGGAGGAGGAGGAGGAGGAGGAGGAGGAGGAGGAGGGAGATGGAGGAGTGAGGTGGGAGGAGGAGGAGGAGGA